CCATCTCATCTGTGCACCAGAGTGTAAAGTTAGCTCTGCGGGTAATACCAACCTTATCGTCTTACTGAGCAATACGGAAGACAAAGGGTCTCTCTAGCGAACCCCTAAAGTTGGACTACACTTGTCCATAAATGCGTATTCATATGTTCTTGTCACATTTCTCAGTTGTATGCAATTGGTTACATGGTGAATATATATGCATATATATATCTGATCATACCTACATATAAAGGCAGGTGGATCCTGTGAGAGTGACGAACTTCTAGACATAGGTAGTATCTGTGTTCAGAAAGGCAAAGTGATTTTCTGTTGTTTTATTATAGTACAGCCTGGAAATCAACAAAACAAATTATACGCGGGTAATGAAACTTGTACAAGTGCTCTAAAGTGGTTAAGAAACGGCCCGAATTTGCTTCCCGCGTTTTTATCTGCAATGAACAGTTTCCTTGGTTGAGACGGTCTGTGCCTCTGTCTCCCGGATACAGTTGAATATTACTTGATCGATTTTGGTCGTTCTGTTATACGCCTTTCACGCTATATTCACACCTTCTTTCGGGGGCGTCTGAATTATGCCTACTCGAGTCCTCATCTGTCAACCAGGAGGACGTTAACGGCTGAAGAAACGGAGGAAAGAGATACTTCACAATATTTGGATTGCTCATTTTTATTGCACTGTCATTAGTCAATTTTCGCTGTCCATAATGTGATTTCATGCAACTGAGACAACGTGATTATGCAGCTCTTCTCGGATTAACTATCGCTGGGAGGCAACCAGAACGTCTTATTATATACTTCAGCAAGTAGAATCAAACTCTTCCATCGTTTACCGGCATTTCGGCGGGCAAAACGTAGAACTACTGTGTAGTAGTAGTATTAGTAGTAGTAGTAATAGTAGTATGCACTAAAATCGGAATACGAATCACTGATTAGCAATCACGGACTGGATCACACCAGCACTTGCATGAAATGTCCCACCTAACCGAAACGCGAGGAAAAGACCTCAGGAGCAGTAGTTTGTTTATTGGAAGAAATAGGGGAGATTAAATAATATGTGCAAAACATGGTCATTGGTCACCCAGGCTTCTGCTAATCACGCTCCAGTATTTCTTGCATCCTTCTGCTTCTGTCTGGGTCTCACGTTCTCTGATTGGCTGGTACAATCAACCTATGGTACGTAGTCAGAAGCAGTGACACGTACGCGCACTGTTGACATCATCCGTGAAGACTGATTGATCCCAGTTGTCCAAAAACTGTAACGCGTTGCTCCAGGATATGTGTCATCTCGTTGGCCCGGATCACCACATACTGGTTGGTTCATCTAGGGGAAATCAGATTGAGTCAACAGTGTGTAGAAGAAAATGTTATTTGGTTCACACGCGTCATCCGAGCAGTATTTCACACTGTCACTCTTGACTGTGCTGCAACCGATCACATTGATTTTCATTGCTCGTTTCCCATTGGTTAAAAGCCTGTGGCGTAGCTCATTGGTTGACATTGTATCGCAGATTCGGGTCTGTCAACCCACGTCGTTTCTGTCCATCTTCCCTTGACTTCTTTTTCAACAAGACCACACTTTGATTCTACTCATAGTTGGTATCCTACTTTTGCTCGTTTCCAGATTACAAATGTGGCAGTGCCGATAACTGGTCTTCCACGTTCCAATTTCGTGTCCTACCGGATCATGCCAACTGGTCACCACGACTAGCGGTATTCGGCGATCTTGGGGTAGAAAATGCCAAATCGTTGCCCGAGTTGAAACGTGAGGTACTCGAGTTTGACAGCTTTGATGCCATTCTTCATGTCGGAGATTTCGCGTACAATATGGATAATGTAAGAAATGTGTGAACTGAAGTACGACCGTTTTTTTTTAATTTTTGTTACGCAAGTCCACAAACTGCTTTCTTGCCCCGTGTGATGTGATTTAGTGTTGTGGCCGGAGACATCACAGACTATGTTGCCCTTTGCAGAACAGATTGTCGTTTGATGCATAGTGAGTGAGAGGAACAACCTCAAACATCTAAACTGTTCAACTATTTACTGGAAGTGGTAACCTAGGTCTTAAAAGTTGTAGTGTTGACCTATGCAAGGCATCGACCGGACAAACGTGCTATTTCTCTAGGAGATGACAAAGCTATCTATCTATCTATCTCATGCAGCAATGAATGCCAGTATCGCCTAGATGGATTGCTCAACTGCCATCACTAATCGTACCCATATGTGGAAGGCTGATTGAAACAAAACAGGACATAAACGGCCTCAAGGCAACACACACAGTCCTTCCCTGCACAGGCCATCACAATGATCTTGGCTATCAGCATGAAATTTGCATATTTATATTCGGTTATACAAGTTTATAACTTTACCAGTCCCAGTAAGATGAACATATTGAGCGTACAGTAGTTCATGAGGTAACACATCTATTTGTAATAGAGAGGCCAACCTCATTGTTTGATCGATAGAGACTCGTAATTCAAATGTTCGTTTCTGACACCAGGTATCTGGCCGGCTGTCTGATCTAGAGTACACAGACGACATTTTACTACTAAGTGAAGATCCAGGTAAGTTGCAAGCAGTTCTGAATAGTTTGAGTGCTAGTGTGTCCATGTTTGATGTGCGTTTTGCACCTTCAAAGTGTAAAATGCAATTACAAGACTGGGTTGGTCCAGCACCCAGCCTCACTCTAACTGGGGAAGTAATAGAGCAGGTGGATAAGTTTTGTTATCTGGGCAACTACATCTCACCCGGTGGACGCATCATGGATGAAGTGTCAGCTCGCATACAGAAGGCTCGGTTGGCATTTGCCAACTTGAGACATCTGTGGCGCCGTCACGACATCCGGCTGTCTGTGAAGGGTCGAGTATATGCTGTAGCAGTTCTGCTGTATGGAACAGAAACTTGGCCATTAGGAAAACAGGATAAAGATAGACTGTCAGAATTTGAACACCGCTGTCTACGTCGCATTGCACGAATCTAATGGGGCAGCCGAACGAACAATGCTGAGGTCAGGTGAAAAGTTTTAGGCAATCCCCTTCGCCCACTGGAACAAGTGGTCAACCTCCATAGATTGCGTTGGTTGGGGCATGTGTTACGCATGTCACCAAGTCGGTTGCCACGGTGAGCGATATTTGCCGAGGCAGGCAGTGGGTGGAATAAAGCCCAGGGTGGTCAAGTTAAGACCTGGCATGAGGGTATGAAAACCTTAACCAGTAGTCTAGGTCATATAGGTCCCGTTAAGCTCCCTGGATGGGGACCTCGGGATGGTCGTACCCGATGGTTAGAGACACTGAATGATATGGCTGGATGTCGTAAACAGTGGTGTTCGCGCATTTTCTTAATTTCTCTGTATCATTAGTCCACTGAGCGTTTCAATATTCTCTTCGATCCTGCTAATGTTCATCTAAATGGGAAACCGAAAGATAGCAACCAAAACCGGCGCACGATAGTGCATGGTTAATGATTGTACAAACTGAAACTGAACTGAACCTGTATCCCGAATCAGAGAATCATGAAGTGCAGATTTGATTCATACGGTGTTAGTTCGATAAAAAGTGACAAACAAAATTAGTGGTCACTAATGTTATGACCGAGATAAAATTGAGGAATAATTCTCCACACACAGAGCACTGAACAAATAGAAGATTCAAATGTCATTTTAGACACAACCCAATCATGAACTTCCGGAGCAATTTGACCGGCAATTCCGACGTAAAAATGTTGCACTGTGCAAGCCAAACTGAAAACCGACAGTTACTTTACATGAAATGTAGTTAAACAGAAAATAATTATGTGAGAATTCTAATATTTTGGTTCACTTTATAGGACAATGGTCGATGCGGAGATCAATTCATGCGTCAAATTGAACCGATCGCTTCTCGTCTCCCCTACATGACAGCAGTAGGAAATCATGAACTTGCCTAGTAAGTAACAACTTTGTGGGGAAATGGGGTGGTGGTGGTTGTGACGGTGGTGATGGTCACAAGATGGTGCTATTATTTAATCATCTTCCATGTGAAGTTGCACCGAGGATATTGAATCCTTCAAATATTGATACTATCTATGATTATCTTTTCAATTCACGTTATTGATTATACCAATGTACGAAGTTGAGGAATGGGATGGGGACCTGATGAACTAGAGCCACCATGATACAGCCGGATGACATACGCAGAATGGAATGATTGGGCAGAAGTGTTGGTGGAATTCCAGCATACGTCCTCTCGGACGATAAGTCAGCAACGCTGATCGCTTGATCACCGCTGCCCTAGTAATCCCCTTTGCAGGGAATTCTCGAAACCCCGACCGATTTCATAGGCACCACCAAGGTCGTTTCAAGAACGTGCATCTATTGATCCTAAGCAAGTTTAAACCCCTGGAACTTACTACAGATTTCAGCATTAATCAGGTGGATATTTTTATCAATTTGCTGGATACAGCAAAGTACAGTAAGGCTACCTTTCGAACTCACTTTTTATTCTGCACTGGGAAAATATTATCCGATAAATACTTTTATCTCTGAAACTGAGAAATGGTTTTGCCATCTGGTTTCGCGATCCGGTACATCAGGACTTGGTCTGAACAATGAGTACTTTTCATTGAGGCTTCAGAACTCTCGAGTGCAAGCAGTCTTTAGTTCTGACATTCCTTGCATAGGACATGGAAAATATTCGTAGAGGATACTCTACCAAACAAGCCATAGAATGTTTTCATTGTATTACATAAAGTTAGAGCCAGTACTCGTTATCACGCTTTAACTGGCAGAAGAGAAATCGAACCTCACCACTCATCCAAGTTGTGAGTAAAAATCACATGAAAAATGCACAAAGTTAAACATAAAACTAAAAGTGAACAATGTTCCATATCAAACAATGTATCAAATATCTATTAGGTCGATTGAATAGGCCTGAATTTAGTCACATATTACCTCTCCATCTACCCATTTAAAGAATACCGTTCGGTTAAATGTATATCTCATTGCAAGGAGGCGTACATTGCTAGATAGGATCGACTGATCACTTCAAACCACAAAGAGTGAACACATTTCACGTACTTGAATCGGTGGTCCAGCCTAAGTCATGTGATTTGAATATATCAAGTAGATCAACCTTGGTCATCTTATACCACGTGATTAAAAGATGTTAAAAGAAGAACCCTAGGAAAGAGGTCTGCGTTTTGTTACGTCACCGATACTGATATCGCGTGAGGATACCTGAGGAATTGCCGACTTTTCTCAACCCATATGTGCATAACCCATGAGCTCCCTTAAATGTATGCAATCACGTGCGAACACAAGCATACAAACTTTCGCCGGTAGTTAGATCTCTAATTGGTCAGTTTCGTCCAGTGCAATAGGTGTGCGGCTAGTAACAACTTACGTAAGGAAATTGCTCTTGCAATTTTGTAATCCTTCCTCCTTACTAAGCAGGCACGAAAACAAACAGCGGAATAGTTGCAATTTTGTGGTCCGTTTGAATTTTCCGTGTGTGGTTGTTTAAAATGAATTACACCGGGAAATATTTTGTGTGATATTATTCTCGTGACACTCCAAGTTACAATCCGATAGAACTGGCTATGACCGTTAGAAAAAAACAACTATTAATTTAGTGCCTGTACACTCTCCGTGTGCAAGTTCATCCTACCAAACTGAATCATAGGACTGAAATCCTTGTCTAGGATTGGCTCCTAAAGGTTTTCAATCGTTAGAATCGCGGGTTTTAAACGATTAATCAATGCTCGAACGTAACCTCAAGTTGGATCTTTAGCGCATCTGAGGAACACCATTTGTTTGTCAATGGAATCATGCATGTGATACAATCGTAATAATTTAGTTCAATTCGCGCTGCTATTTAGTATGCCGAACAGTGTAAACAACTGAACACATGATGATTTGCTGTTCACATGATTTTCGCGTTCGTGTCATCTCCTCTCACCCCCTCCTCTCACACACTCACACATATTATTACCGTAAAATCGATTCCAAATATAAACTGTAGTCCAATCGAACACGAAGAAGAATCTTTTATACATGTATTTAAATGTTGTATCGAAGTTTTCTTTTCTAACTGATGATTCTGGAAATCTTGAAGGTACCCGTATCCAATTTACCACAGTTGTAGGTGCTCATAATTAGAAATACAACTGACCGTCAATTTATAAAAACAAAGCTATACCCCTGTTATGTGAGATGTCTTTTCAGCAATCGATCAGTGCTGGATATATATTGCGGGACATATAATGTGAAATTATTGTAGTTCGGGATGCATATGTTGGTGTTCGTGTGTTCACTGAGCCCGGTGACGTTTCGTAGCCAGACTAGGCAACATCATCAGTGCGCTGATAGTCAATACCTGTGGATAGACCAGACTACGCTGTGTTACAAGCCAGATGCTCCCTACGTTTGGCAAACAACTGCAAAAGCGCTGCCATAATACAGTGTCAGTAATATTTGCTAATTGGAACTCGACGCGGAACTCCCCGTGCAACTTTCACTTCAACCAATCACCGACGGAGTAACCGAATTTCAATCAAAACGTCATCGGATTCTGGAGAGCGAACGAAGCACAAACGATGGATTTCGTTGATCTCGGCTCCTCTGCTGAATGCTCGCCGCTGGCCCATTCCTTCTGGTGCCAACTAGGATAACACGCAAATTTCTTAAAGGCCAGCTCATCAAGAGTATGATGAATGACCGCTAAAAGTGATGGGAAGAAAAACAAACGGTGAAAGATAAGAATGCGGTCAATGGCAATGGTCTCAATGTTTCGGAGTACGGACTTCATGAAAGTATGCGTAAATGAGGTAAGTAAGGAGTCTGAAAATACACTGATCCGTATTCGACAACGCGATCTTGAACAATGGACAGATCACTTTAGGGAACCGGTTAGCCGACTGTCATCAAAACTAAACCTCTCAAATCTTGCTTGGACTTCTGATCCTCGCTGGGATCATACTCCGTCGATTGTCTACGGCACTTGAACAGTTCATGAGTGAGAATCAGGCTGGTTTTGGACCTGGTGGATGTTTTATCGACCACAATTTATTCCTCATCAAATTCTGGAACACAGGCAATCCTTTCGTAGACCCACCATTTTCATCTTCCTCGATCTGAAAGCGGCTTTCGATTCAGTCGACTGCTCCAAGCTCTTGGACTGCATAAAGAGTGTGACCAAGAAGTTTATTTCAAATTTGCAATCTATTTATACTAATAAAGGAATCGGAGTCCGAGTTTACGGTATTGTTTTATAGGAGTTCATCACAGAAAATAGTATTCCTCAGGGTTGCCATCTGTTTCCTCTTTTATTTACCTTCGTTGTCAAAAATCTGATTATGGAAACAGCTCGGTCGTCATGCGAGGATAGCGGCATTCATTTGTTCTCATATGACAGACTGTCTGATCAGGAGTATGCCAACGACATTGTGCTACTAAGTGAAGATCCAGAAAAGTTGCAAGCCTTTTCTGGATAGTTTAAGCGCCAGTACATTTATGTTTGGTGTGCTTTCGTACCTTTAGAGGGTAACGTGTTGCCACAAAACTGCATTCGTTCAGATGCCAGCCTCATTCTAACTGGAGAAGTAATAGCGCAGGTGGATAGGTTTTTTATTGGGGCAGCTACATCTCATCCGGTGAATGCATCACCGATGACGTGTCGGCTTGCATACAGAGGGCTAGATGGACATTTGCCAACCTGAGACATTTGTGGCCTCTTTGCGATACTCGGCTGTCTGTAAAGGGTCGAGTGTATTCTACAGCAGTTCGGCCAGTACTTGGCCATTAAAAGAAAAGGATAAAGATAGGCTGTCGGTGTTTGAACACCGCTGTCTACGCAGCATTACACGAATCTGATGGGGCAATCGTTCGACCAATGCTGAATTTAGAGTTAATCGCGGTCGCCCACTGGAATAAGTGGTGGACCTCCGCAGAGCGCACTGTTTGGGGCATAGGTTTCACATGCCACCAAATGGAGCTCCGCGGCAAGTAATGCTTGCCGAGGAAGGCAGGTAGTCAAACTGAGACCTGACATGATGGCGTGAAAATCCTGACCAAGGGACTTTCTTCGATAGGCCGCGTTAGGTTGCCTGGTTGGGAACCCTGAGCTAAGGCCAGTGGTGGTTACATACACTGAGTAATATGGCCGAGTACCGTAAACAGGGAAACTTACTCCCCTACTCAATATGCACGCAATCTTAGTCTTCATGAATTTTTCATTTTCACTCTGACACTGATTTAAACATCCCAACCTTCCCTTGACACCGTCATCCAAATGGATAATTAGAAGAGAGCAATCGGAATCGGCGCTCGAAAATCCGTGGTCAATGTGGTGATACGAGTGTCCGAAACTAACGAAACACGTGACCAAAGAGACTTGGCGAAAACCAATGTCTATGGGGTCATCCTTTTGTCAAGACAAACGAAAACATGCCATATTTTAACTGATTGTCAATACATAATCAATGTATTTTAGATTCTTGACCTTTTTGTTCTAGAGAACGGGAACTAAAACGCTTGGCTGGATATAGTACTTTATTTTTAATAAATACTTGTAATTCAAGGATTCAAGGGGAAATCTTAGCCTCAGAGATACTCACAACTTTCTCTCAAGTCAGTACATTCTTAATTCCTCCGACATCGATAAAATGTGGTGGATAAAACCGAATCGAATGTCTGGACGTCCGTTTTAACTCGTGACAGCCGTATACTAAATTAAATTGAGGCTCAGAATGTACCCAACCACGTTGTGACTGAGGAAGCCCTGGGTTCGAATTTAGTGAGCAAATATATATCGCCGTAAGTTTGCAAGTAAAGATCGAATTATGTCCTTGTCAATAGTCAGTTGGGTAAGCTACTCGACCATTTCTTGTGCTGCATTCAAACAGGCTGCCCATAAGTAACCGAGCGGTGAACATTTGGCGCCCATTGAGGCCAGAACACACGTGTACAGTGATTCTCCAGTAGCAAGTTCTGCATTCCCCTGCTCTGTTTATTGTATATTTCCTCTTAGCATTTTTCATGGAATTGTAGCCAGAATCATTTTCCTCCTCATGATCTATTCTATATTCTATATTTAACACGATTGCGCCCTGAAAAACGAGCAAGAATGACATCTGAATTGATGGGTAAAAACTAAATTTCCGTCTGTCAGAAGCACTTTGCTTCAGCCAAACAGACTTTTACTAGTGGGGCATAATCCCTCTCTCTTTATATGGGGAAGCTACCAAGAGAGAGAGAGAGATGTATCGGATAATGGAATAATATTTATTTTTCCCTATGGCATTTTAGACACCGTGGATATTCCCCGCCATGCTAGTCAGCTTTGCAAACGAACTCTTGGTCTCATTAGTCATGTGAGCAAAAACTTATTCATATGGTACATAAACCAAACAAGTGTACATCGTGTCAACAATAGGGAGTAATTGCAATCAGAGTTAATTTTTATCATATCAACCATTTTTGTTTTTAATTTTCAGTTTTTGTTTTTTTGTCCTGTAGCAATTTCTCCAACTATCGAGCCCGATTTAGTATGCCTGGTGGAGATGGTCAAGGACAGTTTTACAGGTGAGGAGGATAAACCGTCATGGCTCACGAAAATCACTTTAATATTCCACAGGGATCAATGTGAGCATTAATATTTTTTTAACTTTTTAATTTCTCATTATTTTCATTATTTTGAGTTTTCAACCCAAAAGTTTAGAAATCCAGGATCATTTCGCTACAGTTCAATTGATCATGAACATACAGTCAGATGTTACAGGATACTAGATTCAAAATCGTTATTCATTAAGCATACATTAGTGCCATTTTAATTCTAGAGTGATAAAGCATTCGTGATGTTAACCATGCAGGTGATACTTATTTCGAATAGCTGATATCTCGGCGTGGTCAGGAACTGTGGCGATATTTGTGGCGTATTTGCTCCTTAAAGCGTCACCCAGGATGATACGGTGTTTCATTCCGACAACCCTTTGTGTAACCCAGCAACAAGAAGGATTTGTTTAACACAATCTTGCGGTACAAAATTCACCCCCATTCAAATGTAACTCATCACGTTCAGGTAGAGATTTTTNATTTTTATTTTGTTGTGCGTTGTGAAAGTTAGTGGAAGATTTTCCTCAAAAATTACTCGTGCACATGAAACTGGATGACCATTGTTGAAGAAAACAAGTTAACTAATTATCTGACCACGGTGAACGCCACACGTTCACACTGATTGGCATGGTGCTAATATGGACGCCTTCACTGAGTGACGTCTGGAATTCGGGACCTGTACAAGCACCTATTTGGTGATTTCTAATGTGTTCAAACCTCTAGTGTGGATTATTTTGTCCGTGGGGCTGACAAGATAAACGGGAGGATTGGACGTGAAGGTGTGATCTGAAGATGCATCCGCTGAAGCAAAATTCTTGCATCTAATTCCACGGAAACTATGTTTGATAAACAACTTTCCATCGAACATTAACCCCTCAATGCTGAGATTCTACATGCGATCTGTTTGAACGGTTTATTGTGAAACGTTTCTCGTCCAATCGCGTCTCAGTCACACATGTTCATTCTCATTAGGGCAGACATATCTGTTGCAGATTTTACAACAAATAGCAGAAATCCCACTCTAGATAATCAAAACAGTTTGAGGTTCGAAAATGCCCGCGGTCAATATTCACTGATGGAACTGCAATTTTTCATAACTGCACCGGTTGTAACCATAAGGATTGTTCGTTGCCAGCACGATGGAGCTCGTTACTCAAAAAAAAATAAAGGTTTATTTAATTCTAAGGCCTCCGAGGAAATGATTCATTTAAAGTGATGTCAATATTGTTCAAATTTTTGTTTCGTAGATTGAATTCTTATGTTGAGATTGTAGCCTCGGTGGGATTCGAACCCACGCGTGGACGCCGCCAACACTGTTATACAGCGCATGTTCTATCCGCTGAGCTACGAGGCCACACCGACAGAGAACTGATCTTTTCACATTCGAATTACCCATCCAACTGACAGACGCATATATTACATTTACCAGGTACCACGTTAGCTGACTGTCAGAGTCCACCGAACGGAATTCTAAGGCAAGGTTAATACATCGAATTGTTAGTTGGCAAACTGAAGTCTTACTGTGAGATTGTGGGCCAACTGAACCCTTAGTATTGATGTGTTTTAACTGGCATTCTGTAACTGAAGTTCACCTATCGATCGGAACGTCATTCTGATAAGCAGACAGGAACCAGAGCTGACGTCCACTTTTCTAACTGACGATGTTTGAAGTATGTTTATTCTATGTGATACTTAGCGAACGAATAGAATAATGTATTCCGAGGTCTTAAACAAGACCCCATTGAAACTTTAATATGATTTCAATCAATCAAACTGAGACCAATATCCCATTGTTGGACGTATTTCAATTGATTCTATCTTTTGCCTTCCGTATGATAGCTTCGATGTGTGCGATGAGTGGGTTAAGCGAATGCACCAATTGTTTTAGATCATCAAAAAGGATTTTTCAGACGAATTTTAACTTTCCCCATTCGTGGCTGGCATTCACATCTGATGACTTGACAGAACCTGACTTGGATAATAATATACGTCATAATATCCATCAATTAATTACACTAATTGGCTATAAATGTATTTGGAATGATCGTGAATCACTTAATACGGACAATTGATCGTTGAGCATTTCACAAGCGCTATATGGATGACATTTTGTGCTTTGTCGTTGATAGTGTGAATCTTTCAGATCTCTGGAAAGTATTTCAATCAGTTCATCCAAGCATAATGTTTACTCCGAGAACGAAAAGAATGAGCAGTTTGCATTTCTGGGCGTTCCACTAAGCCATCGATCAGACGAATCTATCCAACGCGCCATCCACAGGAAGTCATCGTGGAACAATCAGTTTATCCATTTCAAATGTGATGTGCCTTTGGCACGAAAAAGAAATCGGATTCAGTTGGTCGCTACCAGGGTACGGCGAATATGCACATACGATACCATTGAGACAGAACTGAGATTTATTTGATACGTTTTCCTTCAAAACAGATACCCAGAGCGATTTGTGGACAACATTTTGGGTTTGCATTGGTTTCCAAATAAGATCATCATCCTCGGGAAGAAACCGGTTTTGATACCTTACAAGGGAGACACAACTGCCGAGATGGTGTCATTTAAACTGAGTAAAGTTGTAGAAAATGTATGCTGCGCAGCAAAACTGTGTATTGTGTTCTTCTCGAGGCCACTTTTGTGCTTTCAACTCACAGATAAATTGCCTGTTTCTGTAGCCTCCTGTGTGTGCTTATTTACGTGTTCCTATGCTGGAAGATATGTTGATCGCACGAACAGACGTTTATCTGAACAAGTCCGCGAGCACCATTCGGCCTGGTTAAATAGTGGGGTGATGAGGACTATCCACAGTTTGGACGTTTCATACCTAGTGCGGTTAATGTGGCCGAGGCGTTTAGACTTATCTACTCAGTTCGTAATCGTCGATCTAAGATGATTGGGTGTAGCATTCTATCCACAGCTGAGGCGATCGGAGTCCACCGACATAATCCCTCCGCACTATGCTCCCAAAACAATGTGTAAGAATAATCAGCCTTCCATGGCCAACAGCACACGCAACACAACGATCCCCCACACACTCCTAATGACCCGAGCCAGTGCACATATTTCAAGACCAAAGTGTGAGCAACATCATCCGGTCATGGAACTGGAATGTTGATTATTTCTTTTCCAGCGTGTCACGATTTCTTCCCCCTACTAAGTAAGTAGTTTGATGTCAATTGTGATTATCGCAAACGAGCCCATTCGCTATTCTGTGTACTATTCTGTTTTCCGTCAGACTGAAGTGTTGATTTTGACACCGAATATTTACTCACGTTAGTCGATTAGAACTCTCTCTCTGTCTCTCTTTGTGGATCGCAATAACCTCTATCAACCGAGCGTTTTACTGAGCGATCACTTCTGTTTTGGGCGATCAACCAGTGAGATCTTTGTGAGCTTATGGTTTAGCTTATGGTTAAGACATGCTTATGATAGTTGATTAGGCGCTGCTTTTCAGCAACCTCCGTATCTCCGTAGTGTGAGTTTGATCAACGCAAACGGTACTGCTAGTTCAACCCCGTTTCTGCCAAACATAACACTGAATTTGCATCTCTGGGTCTGCCAGTGCTCTTCTGTTTGTCCATCACAATCATCATAAAGTTTCCATAATTTATATAATTATACTGCACAGAATTTGGAGATTACTCATCAGTAACGTCTGAACTCATTTTTCACCATGAATTTTCTCTATTTGTCTATGATGATGCAAGATCTTTCCCCAATTTACTTCTTCATCACCAATCCTCTACGAACCAATCAACCACGGAAGCTTCAACCTCGGTCCAGCTCATATAATTGCTTTCTCCACGGAATTCTATTATTACGTGTATTACGGATGGCAACAGTTGTATAATCAGTTCGAATGGCTAAAAAATGATTTGCAAGTAAGTTTTGTCCATTGCGCGGTTCGCCACTTTGTGATTGTGCACTACTACAGTCCCACTCATTATCGATCCACACAGAAACACACACACACACCGTCCGTTGAGAATGAGCATAACTCGTTTGACTGAGAGTACAGTCAGTGTGTGAAGTGAACTCAGAATTCAGGGTATATATAGCTCAGTTCAATTAGGACCAATCTACCTTCCCAACAATCGATACTTCAATGAATTGGAGAATACGGTTATAGACAAGTGGTTCCCTCAGTACAGGAGTGGTGTGTCTGTGTGTGTGTGTGTGCATGTGCGACATACTGTCAATAAGATGCAGTCAAGCAGAAAACAGTAAAGACGATTCAGATTCAAATTTTTATTATGGAAAAAACTTACAAGGACTTCACTTATCAAAGCCCATACGGGGTTTAGACTTTGGGTTCGGAATATGATTCGCAAGACCACAGTTAGTCCGTGAAAGTAAAATAGTGATGTGATGTTTTTGACGAGCACAGGAGAATATATTATGTAGTTGGGTGTTGAAACATAATGTTTGCCAGAACATCATTAAGTTGACGCCTGAAAGATACTACTGTTGAGGCACAGATCACTTGAGGTGGTAGAGAGCTCCATGTGCTGCACACTCTGACTGCAAATGAATGGTATCTGCAGTCGAGACGGCTCTTTTGATGTGCCAACTCCAGTGGATGCCCTCTGAGATGAACATTGGTTGATAGAACCAAAAGAGATCTACATGGATGGTTGGGCTGTTGGAAACACATCACTTCTGACGATACTGAAACGAGTATAGTCCAGTGGCTGTAATCTTTCGCCATAGGTTTTGGAATGTAGACCTTTGACCATCCTGGTAGCCATTCTCTGTGGATGTTCAAGTGCCTTCCGATCTCACTGCAGCCATGGTTCCAGGCCTGAATTGAGTACTCGGTGCATGGACGTATGTATGTGGCTAACAGACGTGGAAACAAAGCCGGCTCAAACGATCCAAAATACGTTCCAGCGGTTCAATCTGTTTTACCGCCATGGATGATGCCCTGGAACAGTTTGTGGAGCAACTCAAGTCGGTGCGAATCACTGCTCCCAGATCCTTCTCGGATGGAGCATGAGGCAGAGTTTCGCGCCCGAGAGTCTAAGAAAAACTACCATGGTGACGTAGTGATAAGGCTTTGCATTTGGTAACCTTGAATTCCATGTCATTGGAGACAGACCATCTGTAAGCTTCGTTAAGGGCGTTCTGGAGATCAAATGGATCTTCTGGTTTTCTTATTGTCCTCCATATTTTACCATCGTTTACAAACAGCAGTTTGTGGTCCGAAAACGTTTGGAAGATCATTTATCAAGGCGATGGTCACTGAATGACTTTGAATGTTTTAACGGTGAAGGATCCAAATCGCCTAATATGAACGCGGACTGAGATTGCGTGAAAGAACGCAAACCGCAAAAAATCGATACACAAGATGATTCATGCTAACCAATTCAAATAGTTTTATATGATGTTAAATGCTGAGATAAAACAGAAATGGTGTTAGCCGAGTGTCATCTTCTTCAGTGCATCTAGTTAATAGGTCAACGATCTCTAGAAATTGATGACTGTTCAATTAAAAAGTTGAAAACATCCCAGGCAATAATCATTACTAACAGGATCGGATAGTCTTCTTTGTATTACTTCTGCTTATGTATCCCCCTTGAACGGTAAAGCAACGTATACCGACTTCTTTATGATCTCGGTCTTCTTCACACTACCTCCACTGCACTGAATCATCTTGCTAACCAATCGTTCTAGTTAGGCATTGTGTGTGAAGATAGTACGTAAGAACCAGAGCTCTTCTTCTATTGTGTCCTCACTACAAATTTTCCTTGCTCTATCTGCTAGGCAGAATAGAATATCATACACATATCGTTTTTATAACACACAATCCTGACTGAAAGATTTGGGTTGGTTATTTTCGAGTTTCGTCATGAACATGGGAAGACAACGGTCTTAGAGGTGATCCCATAGTCACACTATCCTTTTGTCGATAAATCTGCTCGTTAAACTTGAATTGGACGTTGTAGGTGCAGAAATAAAGCAGTCGTGTCAGGCCTTCCCAAGGAAGGCCTATCTCAACATTGTTACTGTGTACATAACTACATAGGTAATCGATGGTTTCACTGATTGGAACATTAGTGAAGAGCGAGCTAACGTCCAATGAAGGCATTGTCCAACCCATCAAGTGTAAGTCACGAATGTTGTTCACAAAAGTGAATGTGTCACGTGCGCTGTGTTTTGCTAATCCAATTCTTACGGGCTCTATTAATTTAGCCAACCACTTTACAAGTGGGTGGTCCGGTGAATTGCACATTTCCAGAATCAGTCGCAAGGGTATCTCTTCTTTGTGTGTCTTCGATAACACGTACGATATAGGAATCGTTGTTCCAGTTAGCCGGATCCGTTCGGAAGTGGTCGCATCGATTACTCCATTTTGCTTTAAAAATCTCAATATATTTGATAAGGTAACCTCTATTTGAGCGGTCTTATCCTTTTCTGTTGTTTTGGTGAATTTCGACCTATCACCCAATATGGCGTCCATCTTTTGTGCATAATCCGTTCGGTTTAGAAGCATTATATCCGCCCCTTTGTCCGTTTTGGATATCACAATTTCTCTATTTTTCTGCAGATCTCTGAGTCGTTTGAGATGCCCCAGTGTCATTAGTTCACTTGTTTTTACTTTCATACTTTGATGTTGATAGCATGCATTGGCTAAGGTTGATTTCAGAGTTTCCAACTCCAAAGCTGACGAGGGAACGAGATCAAAGAGTTGTGCATATAGATTTTAAAACTCCATTCTACATCACGTTGCTTAGATCTGCCATTAGAACGATTAAACTTTGGTCCTAGAGACTGTAGTGGCTTGAGACCGACAGTGTAACAAGTTCGAGAGTTGTCACCACTTTTGTCTGGCTGTTCCGCATGTATGCTTCCGCACGGCTGCAGGCATTGGTTGCTTGAAGCATTCGCTGGTGCATTCTTCTCCTTTGCAGCATAGATTCCACCAGGATCTTCGATATCCTGAGACCGCTTCTTCAGCTAGGCCTTTTATCTTTGTTTAAGTCACTGCCACCTCCGGTGAAATAACTTTCACTTTTAACGGTGCGTGAATTCAGTGCTATACCTCTCGCTAAGCACTTTTCTCTTCCAGACATTCTCGAGCATATTCAGGCTAAAACTCCGGTGCTTTCAGGAAACAATATACTTTCCCTCGACTAACCGGCTGTTCTTCCTGATCCCTACCGGGTGATCGAGAAACACGGGAGAATTAGAGATCGGATCGCTGTCGCAGGTCGCGTAATTGCATCCCTATCTCTAAAATACTTCTAACAATATTTTGTCTAGATTTACAGATGACAGATTTTGAACTTACTGCTTAGGGTTGGCAAGAAACTCACCCACGGGTTTGGCATGGTTAAGTCGCTGACGTAGCGTGGTTTGGATGCGTTCAACTTGCTTAGCCACGATCGACTGAACATAATCGTCAAAAGATTTTCTCTCAGTCGGTGAAAGATTATCCGACACACATGCGGAAGTCAAATAATTCCGTCAATATGATTACACAACGTGTCACGCTCATTGAGTGTGAGACGGCGAAGGGTCACATTGGTTATGTTCACACGATTTTTCCTTAACAATGTCCAATACTGTTTCGGAAATTCCGATTTAATAACGTACTCGTCAATGAACTGAATTCGCGCCTCTGTCAGAGACAGTTTCTTACGGAACCTAACATACTTATTAAGTCCGCCAAATTCGATGGGATCTTTGGCTTGCTTTAATTGTCTAAATTGTCCCACAGAGTACATTTCAAATAGAACAAAGAGTGGCGAACAAGCTCATTTTCTGTGATTCGTAATCATGCCAAATGCATCACAAAAAATATTAGGCTGTTTATATATAAATCAGTATTCAACCATAAAAACGAGCTCGTTCGCCACTCCTTGTTCCATTTGAACTGTGCTCTGTGGGACTGTTTAGACAATTAAAGTAAACTCTAAATTCCCTTGTCCCAGAATCACGTAGTGACTGTATAAATCAGTTCCCGGGTAGCACAAAGTAGCGCTTCGATCGACTACAAAGAGCTTCTTATGAGCTACATCAGTTACATTTGTTATTAACAGTAACTAATCTTTTAAACACATTTGTCGTAAATCTTTTCGGTTTAAAGACTAATTTTGAGAATTAATTTCATCAACTAACTCTCATTTTCGTTGTCTTTATTCCGTGTTTGAGTTCTAATCAGTGCATAAATGTGCTGAAGTTCATGGCGAGATAGTAAATCCATGCGAAAATAAAGGGTTAATAAGGGATTAGAGACGCGCCAAGGTAGAAAACTAAAAACGGAATGTTCTACAATTTAACTCATTGTAGCCGGCTATTATCGTCCTATTTGCTGACTAATAGACTACAAAAGTGCTACAATTTTGGTGTCGTAGCTCATTTGTAGCTCAAAAGTAGCCGGCTATTAGCGCACTAAGAGCCGACGACGTGCTACCTAAGTTGTCAGCGCCTGCGTAGCCCGTTCATGTCCAAACGAGAGAACCAGCGACAAACTGATGCCTGCCCAATCCGTTCGCTACCATGAATTGGCCTGGTCGGTTTGGTCCCAATATATCCCTCTATCGTTATTTTTCTTGCACACAGGTTGTTGTAATGTCTGGAGAATAAACTCAATGAAAACCTGTGTTTCGATTATATCAATGAGTGCAATTTTTTTCCATGGCACTTTAGCTCGGAAATACAAAAGGCAAATTCTACATAATCTCTCCATTCAATTATTCCAGCATATTTCACCGATCAGTGTAGTGTCGTTTCACATTCTGGAAAGATGAAGTATACCCTCGATTAGGTGAACTTATTGTGACAACGAACGTTTCATCAACATCCAATTTCAGTGTCTTCCAGTCACTGAAAGATTTATAGGTGTCAGTTTTCGTGAACTCTCAGCCATGAATGAAATAAAATAGTATGAATTTGGCTGTTAAAAGCTGAAGACAGGGCCGGCGCGCAATAAGTTCGGATGTCAAACAAAACAGCATAGTGTCAGGCACAGAAATGTAAGCATCATCAGATGATTCAAAGTTGTTTGCAACTCAGATGCGATGGAAATGTTTGTGATAACCAACAAAGAGCATTAGATAGCTGTTTCGTACTGTTTAGGACTCGTCAGCGGTGCGCGTACTTTTTCTGTCCCTGTCAGGACTCAAACCGCGATCAGTAGGGTCGGGACTTCAAACCCTTACCCCTGAGCTGCACGACCGATGGTCATCACCTTATGCGAATCAATTTTAGAGTATCAAGCTTGGATTAGCCCATTCGATTGTTCAGAGGCACCAGGCACTCTGGATGGTCTTGGATGAGGGTTTCACTCCATGGGGGATCGTTAATTCCCCATGAGATAATGTATTCAAATGCGATGGAAATGCTTGTGATAACCAACAAAAGAGGTGCCTATGAACAATCGAATGGGCCAATCCAAGCTTGATACTCTAAAATTGTTTGCAACTGTTTTGTCGAGAGCCAATGTGCAGCGTCTGTTTGCAAATTGTTTCACAACGATCAAAGATGCTGTTAACACATGTTTATGCCGTAGTAAAGGTTTACCTGGGTCAACGATAGACTAAACATGCGATGAGATATTTCTCTCTCTGATTTTAAAATTACTTCCACTTCGTTCCCCCTCCCTCCTCTTTTCTGTACAGGAAGCCAATAGACCGGAAAATCGCCGTGTTCGTCCATGGATCATCGCGATGGCTCATCGTCCAATGTACTGTTCGAACGAGAACGACCAGATGCACTGCAGTAATCTGCTGAACACCATCCGGGTCGGTTTCCCGGACAGTCGAAACGGTTCGAGCAAATTCTATTTAGGCCTCGAGAAGCTGTTCTACGATGCCGGAGTGGATATCATTATTGCTGCACACGAGCACTCTTACGAACGATTCTGGCCGGTTTACAATTTGACAGTGAGTCTATGTGTGTATGTGTGTGTGTAAGTGATTGGATCATTTCCCCGTCACTGAAAACGGGAGAAGCCTGTTGGATATAGGTGCACATTGTGATCAATGACTAGTTCGTCTGATTCCCCGATCGTTATATGGCTGGTTGTCAGCAGGGGTTTACCGGGTTTCTTATTTCAAGCGCAAAGCTATCAAAATTCGAAATTAACGTGTTGACGTGTATTATTAGCCTAATCAAGTGGTAGAGAGTCCAAAATGTGAACTTGGTTATTCCATGCAAATTCACAAATGCATGAGTTTATTCAATATTGTTCTGGTATGTGTCACACATATTGAGAGCGCATTGATAATGAGTCACGTGCTCATTATACTTTATTCGCGATGGCTTTGTAAATGCGCACCAAATTACCAAGGAATCATTTCTTTCCCGTATGCGTATGTTAAGGATGTTGGCCATTGACTATTTAGCTCCACAATAAGCGCTTCGGTATCCAAAAGAAAGTTTCAGGTTCGAGTCCGTTCTGAAACAGAGATGAATAGTACCCGCTGCTGGAGAAGACCACAAAGACGGAACAGCTACCGAATACGCTTAGTCAGTCCTGACACTTACTTCTTAATTGAAACCCGCATGGAAGACCCGATTTGATGGGCGGCTTTCGATTGGAGTCGAAGAAGAGTTTACTGTGTCTGTCTTTGTTGCTGTTGGGATAGCAATGAACTGACTGGCTATCCTTGAATAGGAAACTTGAACAAACATGAATTGACAATTTGGTTCAGCTTGTTGGCACAGTGGTAAGACCCACATTTCATCCATGCTATGGGTTCGGAGTTCAAAGCCCGAACGGCACAGTAGATATTCCCTACTGATGAGCTCTAATAAAAATCTAATGCTTTGGAATATATTGTTGACTGAAAGAACTGAGGATTATGCGTGAAGGTGAAGTCTGAGGAATGTTCAGTTCAAATCAGTTTCAAAGTAATGGTATTTTATCAGTTTTACCCTGTAATACTTATNNNCCTTTTTGAGCGGCTCTGATAAGATTGAGAGGGAAATAGCGAGTGGCGTGCAAAATGTCGCTCAATTAACTGACTGTTGCATAATATATCATTGAAGGTGTTCACTTCGCGTGAAATCGAGTGATTCTGAAGGAGCGATTTGTGAGCAACAGCGTATGATCAAAGTTTTATAGCCATGCAAAGAATGTAACTTGCTTGTTCCTAATCTGTTTTATTACAAACCGTCAGACCGGGCTGACCCCATAGTCATGAAGAACTATTGCTATCCAGTGATGGTAACCTTCAACCGAAGCCCCGGGACTCGGACTGGTGAACCATATAACGCCCCGATAGTTTAGTTGTAGTATTGGACCGGACGATGGCAAAGCTGCCTATCGCCATAGTTGGTTGCCTGTGACGGGGCTCGAACCTAGGACCACTGCGCCACCACCACACTGTCTGTATGTTACTGATAAGCAATACTAGGAGTATTCTGTTGTTTAGTAGTGATGTTCTTCGTTTTATAGTTGAGTATGTATGTTCACTTCACTTTCTTCCCTTTAAAATGGAGCTCCACAAGACAACGCCGTTCAACGTTTACCCGTAGGCTTTAATGTTCCTGTGCTTTCCAGAATTTACTTTCCAGTTCAAACAATCCCACCAAACATACATACATCGGAGGTTTTCGGTGATAAATACAAATTAAATATCAACTAGGAAAAGTCGCGCTTGATTGTCGATCTTATTTCGAAATTACGTTCATTGAGAAATTTGAGTGGAATATGCAGCCCAGTAGAAAAGCCTAAGTCAAGTCACAGACGACTCACATGCCCACAGACAGAGGTACCAGGATGAATTCATACAGTTTCATTTGTAACCAAGATGAGAGAGAGAGCAGACTGACTGTACGATGCACACCAATGGTAGGGGGGGGCGGGGGGATATTGTGGATAAGAATGCTTAGCTTACGAAACAATTATTTCACGAAGAAGTTCTGCAAAAGGTTCAACACAAACTGGCAGATGATTCAATCCTGAAAGGGTTACATTGAACTATTTTGTGATATTCACGAAAATTCAGTACTTCATTTTCATAGGATAATCGGAAACACATCTGTCAATGTTGTTCCCAAACATTTACGTATAAAAGTGCATGGAAATACGAGCATAGTTTTGCGAATTATTCGTTTTATTAAACAGACTGATGGCGTTTGGAATACTGAATTATGAATGATCCATACAATTTTAATACCACGAACTAATGTGGACTCAATACCAGTATCAATGCAAGGATGATTTGCTTGATTGAATTATGCGTTAATTTTCATTTAGCAGTTTGTTTTAGAACTCACAAATTGACGTTAAATTGACCCATGTTTTTCACCTCACAGGTCTGCAACGCCTCCCACAGTCAGC